GGTTATCTTTTGGATTATCATTAAGAATTATTATTTCGTTAATTATCATTAATTAATTTTACTGATTAAATCGTTAGTAAATTCTTATTACGAATTTTGGAGTGATTTACGGGAAATTTATTTTTCTGTTAGGTGTCTACAGTCCATCAGTGGGACAGGGGATTGTATGTATATTGCTTGATTGTTCTACCCCTGTTCCCACTCTCCCTACCCCCCTGTATTCTGTGAACACCGGCACCTCTCAAGTACCGCATCAGTTCAGACTGATGTCGATGGAACAGGACACCGGGGCACTGCCACGGCGCAGTGCGAGGATCGCAGTTCGTGCCCGCCCTGCGGTACCTCCAAGACCGAAGAGATTCAGCAGACGGACGACTCCAGCGGCATCAAGTAGGGCATTGACAGTACAAGACACCATCGAAGATCTTCCCGCATGCCCGGTCCGAGAGGCCAGCGAGCCTTTGGCTGACTATCGTGGGCGGCTACAGGCATTTGCAGACGCCGTAGCCGCCGCCGAGGCTCAGCAGGCTGCGGCAGAGGCAGAATGTCAGCGGCTGGCCAATGAGGCGGCAGCCGAAGCTCAGCGGACAGCTGAGACTGACGAAGTGGCACGAAACAGACGGAATGCCGCCAGCACAGAGTCCCTGATTGCTAGTGAGCATCAGTGGACAACGATCCTCCAAGGCATGATCTTTGTGCCTACGGAAACGCAGGCGGAGCCGACACAGGCGGAGGCAGAGAGAAGTAACCTGGCTACCGTGATGTTGAACGTAATGAGGGGAGTAATGTGGAACAACAAACTACTGCAGGCACACCTGCACGCGGAACGACAACAAAGAAAGCAGTACCAGCAAGACCTGGCCGCTGTAACGGCCGGCGTCCGCGACGCAGCAATGCAGCAGCAGCAACAGCAACAGYTGATGAACTCTACCATSGCACGCATCAACGGCATKGAGGCCAAGGCCTCAGCAGCGCCAGGCTGCACGACGGACGCGACGAAGCAAATCAACGAACGCATCGATCACGTCGTCACCATCATCAGCGACATAGGTGTTTTCAACGGACCGGACATGATCAGCAGCACGGTGGCCGCCATCAAGACGGACATCACCAAGCTATAGACGAGACCGTACGCCGCTACAAAGACGTTCAAGATGCCGCACTTCGACATCTGCAAGTTCAACGACTACAACAAGTCGGACGCTTTGACATGGTGGCAACGTTTCCTCACGGAAGCGTCATGCCGCATTGTCCTGGCGAACGACATGTTGAAGGCACTCTATTTGCAACTGATTGGAGGAGCGCAGGCAGGGATGAACCACCTGGCGGCCACCCACAAGTGCACCATCGCCGAACTCCACACGCACATCACGTGGAAGGAGTTCGAGCAGCTATGGTTCACCCGGTTCATGGTCCGCAACGTCGTGAAGGCGGCCATGAATGAGGTGTACACATGCTCTCAGGGGAACATGCCAACTGGAGACTGGACAGCGAAGTGGCAAAAGATAGTGACCACACCAGGCTTCGACTTGACGTTTCCAAATCAACGATCCGAGTTCTTCTCGCGATCATGCGCGGGATTGCGGTCGGCACTCGGTAATGAGTACGACTCTACCACATTCCAGGCCATTCTGGATCGAGCGAACTTGGTCATCCAAACGGACGACAAGGCCGCTAACGAGAGACAATCCCAGACGCATTATGTGGCTAAGCAAGCCTATCAACGTCCGACACATAACAATGCCGTGATTTCTGAGGAAACCGACGACCACCACGCTGCAGCAGCATCCTCGGGTGATGGAGGAATTGTCGCAGCGCTCCCGCCGAAGCGTCCCAAGAGAGTTCGTAAGAACAAGGCGACACAAGAGACGGCAGCGACGGGAGCTGGGCAGAAGCCATGGACGACATATAAGATCACCAAGGAGGTTTATGACCTGCGTCAGAAGTACGGATACTGCCTTTGGTGCAACGGAGTCACTCCTGTGACCGCACAATGCCCCGAAAAGGGCAAGGCACGCGTACCCCGTCCAGCAAACTCGGGAAACTGAGTTACGCAAGGAGAGGGGCGACGTCTCTCCTCACTCCG